GGTGGATCAGCACCTCCTCCTGCTCCGCTCCTGAGGCACCTGGGGGGCTCTTGGCCGAACTGGTGGGGCAGGGCAGTTCAGCCGAGCTCAAGGCATGGGGCTGCTCAGCCGAGCTGTCCCCAGCCCGGTGCACTTTGTACTGGAAGACGGCTGCACTGGGCTGTGGTGCTGGGCTCTGTGCAGGAGAAATGGGAGCTGGGGGGGAGATGGGAGCAGGGGGCTCCTCTGCCTGTCCCTGAGGTGGGTCTGGGGGGCTCACGCTGCTGTTGAGAGACCCAGGAGCTGGGGTGGAGCTCTCTGTGGCCTTGCTAGCAGCAGGGGCAGGATGGTCTTCATGCCCTGTCTCATCCTTCTCCACTGCAGCTGCTGGCACTGGGAGTAGGCTTGGGGCCGGTTTTGGCAGCACTGAGTCACCCGGGTCAGGGGGGCTCTTCCTGGGGTCAGGAGGGGTCTTCCTCACGTGTGCAGTGCTGCTGCCATCCTCAGTGCCCTGCTTCTGGCTGCCAAGCCCCAGGGCAGGTTTCCCTTCCTTCTTCAGGGACAGCACAGCCTCCAGCTCGTTCCTGATTTTCATCACGCTGCTGGTCTGCACAGCAGAGCTGCTCTCCAGAGCGGGAATCGCTGTGCTGGGAGAGCCCCCCTTGGCACTGGGGGGGCTGCTGGGCACTTCTTTCTTCTCACTCTCCCCTCCCTTGGGTGACTGCGTGTCCTTCCTGGCAGGTCCGGCGAGCTGGGGCCCACTGAGACTGGGCTCCCGACTGCTGGCACAGTTGGTGCCACCATCCACAGGGTGCCCAGCCACAGGCTGGGGATCAGTTGGCTTCTCTGGTGGCCTCTCCTCCCTCCGTGGGGAGCGCAGGAGGGCTGACAGCTCGTGCCGCAGCCTATTCAGGTTGCCGGCATCCCTCCAGTCGTCCTCGCAGGTCGGGTAGTCTGGAGGAGGCAGGTCCAGGTCATTCGCAGAGAGAGGTTCAGATTTTGGAGGAGAGTCTCTCCCGGCCATTTTTGGCTTGGGAATCTTCTCTGTCTCAGAGCTTGGCAGTGGGAACCGGTGTCCAGGATTCGTCCCTTGGCTGACTGCTGGACCCAGCTTGGGGCTCAGTGGTGGAGGTGTCGGCACAGCCAGCTTTGTGACAGCCTGCCTCAGCGGGGAATTTCTTTGCTCAGCTTCTGCTCCTGCGTAAGCCTTGGCCGCGGGTCGTATGGTGAAGCAGGGCGGCAGGGGAGGGCGGGCATGGGGCTGCCTGGAGAAGGGCTGCTGCTGCATTGGTGGGCTCTCCTGCACAGGGATGGAGGAGGACCGGGCTGGGGCTGGGGGTGGCACCTTGAAGGACCTGGGGAAGGTGAGGTGGGGCTCGGGGCAGTGCTTGGGCTGCAGACCCTCCTGTGGGCCAGAGGCAGCTGGTGCCCCAGCCTCAGCGGGGCAGGGCGGG